TGCTTACGAGAATAATGAGAATTGATGGGGAAGATGCACTTTCTCATAATTTATGGGTCATGCATCAGAACAGGACATTTTTGGAGGAATGAAGCACGTTATGGGAAAACGGGGTTTCTTAAATGCATGGCCAAAAATCTCAGGAAAGCACCCTGCACTACTGGCAATCCTGAGGCGTTTGCTTTTCCACTCTCCAAAATGACGAGTTCGCACTTCCTTTGTGGAAATCTCCTTCCCTCCCCACCCCTACCCACCTTGCTAGGCCCTAAAGCGCAAGAATAGTGATGAGCACCCCATGGCCTGCCCTGGGCCACCCAGTCTTTCTTACGTAGTCTCCTTAAGGGAGCTCTTCCAGGCCTTAGCTTTAGATTCCATTTGTATGCTGAGGATCCAAAGTTTATATCTCCCAGGAGCTATAGCTTAGTGCTTCTCAAACTTTAACGCGCATGCCGATCACGTGGGGTTCTTGTTAAAATGCAGATTCTGACTCCATTGGTCTGGGGTGGAGCCTAAGATTCTGCGTTTCCAACAAGCTCCCAGGTGATGCTGATGCTGCTGGTCTTGATTTTTTGAGTAGTGTTGAGTGGTGAGGATGCAGACTCATCTACCCAAATGCCTCCTTGACATTTCCACCTGGATGTCTGACAGGCATCTCAGACCAAACCTGACATGACCCTATTAGAGTTCTTGATTTCTTTCCTCTAACCCACTTTTCTCTGCATTACATCATCCTCCTGGTTGCTCATGCCAAAAATCTTGGAAGTGTCCTTGGTTTCTCTCTTTCCTTCAGTTTCCCATCCAATCCATCAGCAAATTTTATTGGATCAGTCCTCTAAAACATATCCCAAATCTTTCCACTTGGCTCCATAATAATAGTAGTAGCTGACGTTTACTGAGTACTTCCTGTCAGGCTGTGTTAATGATGGCTATAGATTGAATGTTTGAATTCCCCCCAAATTCATATCTTGAAACTTAGGCCCCATTGTGATGGTATTTGGAGGTGGGGCCTTTGGGAGGTAATTAGGTCGTGAGAGTGGAGCCCTCAAGAATGAGACTGGTACCTTTACGAAAAAGACCTCAGAGAGCTCTCTTTCGTCTTCCGCCATATGAGGACACAGTGAGACGAGGGCCTTCTATGAGCCAGAAAGCAGGCTCTCACCAGACGCTGAATCTGCTGGTGCCTTGATCTTGGATTTCCAGCCTCCAGAACTTTAGGACCTAAATTTCTGTTGTTTATAAGCCACCCAGTCTATGGTATTTTGCTATAGCGGCCTGAGCTAAGATAATGATATGCATTTTTATTTATATGTATTTAAAGTCTTATTATCATGACAATCCTGTAAGGCAGATGGTATTATTAATCCCAATTTTTTGAGTAAGAAAAGTGGACACATAATAGGCAGTAAATAAATCTTTGTGAATTGAGTAAATGAACGATCTTTATAACTTATAACTTACAGCTAGGTAGCACTACAGAGACTTGCAGTTTATGTTTTTAAAAAATCCAGTTCATTCTTTTGGTTAATTTTCTCCTTGGCTGTAAATATAATAGTCAGTAGTGCTGTTAATATACTTAGAGAATTAGGGAGACAGTATCTTGTTTTAAGGTTTCTGTGTCCTTGCAAAGCACAAATTACTTGCAAATGTCCACAGGCAAATATCCAAAGGGTATGTGTGTTACGGAATTTGTAGTCTCATTGCCTTCCTCAAACCAGCTTTGACAAGGGCTTTATGCATTTAAAACATTAAAGCTATTTATGTCTGACAATTACAATATTGTGATGCACTTTATGAAGACATTATGTCTTGTGTGTCCTTGCAAAAAGCAGAGATCCTTTTATTTCTCATTACATCACTGCATATTTTGTAACTTGTAGGATATATTGAGAAAGTGACATTCATGCTTCAAGATGTATTCCTTTCCTAAGCTTCCTTTACATTCATCAATTTCAAGGGTTTTGCGCTGTGTGTTGGTCATTACACTCACAAACCGTGATGAGAAGTGGCTGGGGTTCAGGAAGAAGCAGGCTCCATGGTCAAGTAGATGGAAGCTAGTTCATATGAAGACAGGCGAGGAACTTGTGTTGGGTTAAGCGACTGCTTTGCTATGCTGTTTATTTTAAAGGAAATCTTTAGTAACCTTATTTATAAAATAAAGACATCTTTAGTAATAAGAATAATTCACTTAGTTTTATAAGCATGAGTTTCTCTTAAGGGTGGCAAAGAGAAACACACATCATTATTGTCCTAGTGATTTCTATCACAGCCTTCTCCTAAGAATCAGTCCTCTCCTTTAGAACTTTCAGTATGCCAAGGCAAACATTAAACCAACATAACACTGCATTCTTTTCTCTAGTTCAGGTCAAAGGAATATCCTAGAAGTAGGATTCTTATATATAAGTGAATTCTTATACATAAATGAACTCAGAGAAGTGCTAAGCATTAGCAAGGGTCTTCTTGGCTTTACATTTCTGAGTAACATGTGGCAGATGTTGCATATGTGGAACAGTCCCACTGGAATTCCAGCATGTCAAAGCGGAAGGCACCGTGGAGATCTTCCAGTCCGACCCCTGAGTTATGGAGCGCAGACAAATGAAGCAGAGAGAAAACAAGGCACTGAAAGCGAGGCTCGTAATTCCTGGCAAATCCGGGGGTCCTGGAAAGCTGCTCTTCAGGCCATTTGTTTCTAAATGTCAACTTCTCCCTTTTTTAATGTCAGAGTTTTCAAGATGCCATTTAGTTTCAAGGAAAAGAGACAGGAGGAATATGAGTTCCTTACAAGAATCTAAAAGATGGTGGAAGAGATGGGTGGGGCTGAGGTAGGCTCTCTAGATGGCCAGGCCTCCGTGTTGATCTTTAGTTCTCATCCCTGGACCCAGGAAAAAAATTACAACAATTTAAACTTTGTTACAATATTACAAAGTATATTAGTTTCTTTAGGGCTGCCTTAAAATGTGCTACAAACTGATGGCTTAAAACAACAGAAATTTATTCTCTCATAGTTCTGGAGGCCGGACATCTGAAATCTAGGTGTCAGCAGGGCCCTGCTCCCTCTGAAGGTTCTAGAGAAAAATCCTTCCTTGCCTCTTCCTACCTTGGGCAGTTTCTGGCAATTCTTGGCATTCCTTGTTTGCAGCTGCATCACTCCAATCTCTGCCTCCATTGTCACACGGCCCCCTCCTCTGTGTCTGTGTGTCCTCTGTGTTTCTGTATGTCCAAATCTCCCTCTCCTTATAAGGACCCCCACAACTGGATTCAGGGCCCACCCTAATCCACTGTGACTTCATCTTAACTTGATTATATCTGCAAAGACTCTATTTCTAAATAAGGCCATAGTCACAGGTTCCAGGTGGACATGAATTTTTGAGAGACACTATTCAATCCACTATGCAAAGTTACAATGGTTTTATGTTTTAACTTTTGCTAGGAATTTATACTTGTATGTCCTAGAAAGGCATGTTGTTTCCTTGGTCCAGGAGAGAAAGAGAGAGAAGTGCACGTGGAGCACTGCTTCCCAAGTGTATCCAGTGGACACTATTCCCAAGAAACGTAACATGAAATAAAAGTTTCAATGGTCAAAAGAATTTGGGAGATACTGTACTCTACCCTCCTCTTGAAGCATCACTGGCTCCTAGGATATCAAAGGTTGGGAGTGGTCCTTTAACCAGGGCCTGTGTCTGTGTAACACTCTACATTGCTTAAGCATTGCCTCCAGCTTCATGAAGCAGAAACCCAACCACAGTAGCTTGGTCCAACAAGGGGTTTATTTCCCTCATCTAGAAAGTTCAGAGGTTGCAGTCTTGGGCTGGCACAGTGGCTCGTGACGGCACCAATGTGCCAGGCTCCTTCTGTCTCTGCTCTGCCATGCTTAGCAGGTGGTGTTCTTTCTCCTGACAGTTTGCAAACCAGCTACTCCATTTCCAATCTCCCAGCTCCCTTCTAGATAGGAAGAAGGAGGAGGAAGTGGTGATGGAGAAGGGATAGCATTTCTATCAGGAAATTAGACTTTCCCAGAAATTCCCAGCAGATTTATGCTTACGCATTGTTGACTAGGATGCTATGAAATGATTGCTCCTAGTCTCAGGGAAGACTGAGAAATGCAGTTTTTTTGTTGGATGCATCGTACCCTGCACAGAACTGAAGTTCTGTTAGGAAGGAAGGAGGGATGAATATTGCCTAGGCAGCTGGCAGTGACTGCCACGCACATAATTTCCCATGGCATTAGTGACCGCGAGATCGCCCTTGTTAAAATTTGTCCCCATTGTCCTTCACAAGAGAGTGCTTCCCATAGAATTCCAGGTTTTTAGCATCAGCCTCCAAATTTAATCCTGCCAAACATTTTAGCGCAGTACAACTCTCGAAGTTCAAGGGTGCCCATACTTATATGGCACCAGGATACACTGAGTGCCTTCTAAACGATTTAACGGCTTCTGTGTGTTTGCACTCCTAATTTCGTTTTCTTTAATGTGTTCTAGTGGAATTTGGAACTTCCCTCTTTACAATTCCAAATCCCTTAGATAGACAGCTGCCATATGTAAAGTAATACACTTGGAATGCATTGTGGAAGCATCGCCGTTTCTTCTGGCCAACATTCAAAGCAGAGAAAAGGCAAAGGCTTCTACCTTCTCAGAGGCAACGGATGCTGCCTTGTGGCTTAAGAAACCTCATTATGGCAGAGGTCTTCAATGATCCCCGCTGTGGTCACACATTCTAATCACCAGGGGAGCCAAAGCGCATGCCTCCATTCCCAGGGAGGACCTGTAATGAGGAGCCTCTTGTAGGAGAAGGGGCCAGAAAGGTCTCCTTGTCCTTTTGGTTCTCCCTCTTTTACTTTGTGTGGTCAGGGAGAGCACACAGGCCAAGGGAGAAGAGGCTGGTTAGTGCAGCATAACATAACAGAAGCTGCAATGTCAAAGAGAAAGAGACAGAGACAGACGGCAGATTCCAGAAAAGGTTTCCTTTTTTATCTCTGCTTGAATATGTGACATTTCTAATCTTACCTCTGGAGCAGGGGAGGAGGCGGAAAGGACCCCCATGATAAGGCAATCGGGTCCTCAAACCTGAGAAGAGGAATGTTCTTCGCAAGTGAGGGCCTGGAGGTCTTGGGGGAAAACAGTCATGGAGAGGATGTCATTCTCCATTCTCTGCTCTGAATACAAGCTCTTTCCCTCATTCTGGGTGGAGGTAACCAATCTGGGATGTCAAAACACCCATCAGCAAAACGTGTCAAGATTTTTAAAAAACCATTAAAATTTTACATCATAATAGATTTCTAAGACAGCACAGGTCACAATGGCCTCATATTCAAAGGGAGCAACTGAAAGGAGCAAATGCTCTTGTACCATTTTGGTAGTTGACCTAGTGTCCAAAAAAATTGAATTTCAAATTGTAACCCCCCCTGAGTCCAAAGGAAATGATTTGTTTATCACTGTGTAATGTTTCAGAAAGGTCAGCCTGAAAATTGTAAGTGGTTCCAAGCAACTGACCCATAAAAAGATACTGTCCCTGGAACGCAAAATGTATGTAGAAGGTATAAGGAAGAGGGTAATGTAGCAGAAGACAGAATGAGTTTCTCTTGCACTAGTGACTGTGCTGTGGCATGATGGGAAAGCATGTGGCATGATGGGAGAGGATGTGGCATGATGGGAGAGCATGTGGCATGATGGCGGAGCATATGGCATGGTGGGAGAGCTTGTGGCATGATGGGAGAGCTTGTGGCTTGATGGGGGAGCATGTGGCATGATGGGACAGCTTGTGGCATGATGGGGGAGCACGTGGCATGATGGGAGAGCTTGTAGCATGATGGGAGAGCTTGTGGCGTGATGGGAGAGCATGCGGCATGATGGGAGAGCACAGTTTGTAAACTACCAGGTAAAGAATTGACCCCAGGTATTTTGACACCCAAGCCAGTGATTTACCTTTTTGCCCCAGTCTGGGAGGTGGCAGAGTCAGACTGGCTGAATTAGAATCCCAATTGTTTCCACTTACTAGCAGTGTGACCTTGGACACATTGCTTTTGCTTGGTTTCCTCATCTTGACGGTACCTACTTCATTAGGGTTATTATGAGGATTAAAGGAATGATTGCATGGGGTTAGTGCCTGGCCCCATGCCTGTTCCAGAAGTGTTAGCAGCTGCCAGCTCAATTACTATGAGTGCTTTTCATATTGGCATCCCCTTTAAGGCTCCAGAATGAGAAGGAAGCTGCGTAGTATGCTAGGTACTGAAATTGAAGAGAATCATCACACAGACTCACCATGATAAATAATTCCGCTACCCACTGCTGAGGGCCGTAAGGCGTGGAGGAGAGGCCTATTACTTCTGCCCGAGAGATCAGAGAAAACTTCACAAAGAGGTTGACATCTGAGCCGGGCCGTACAAAGCACAGAATACTCCTGCTTGATCTGATTCCTTCTTGGAAGAATCCTTTTAAGCCCAAAAGCTATTTTTTATTTATTGGGTACTGTTTTCTGAGTAATAATCACAGTTGCAGGCTCCCTAACTCATTATTATTTGAGTTCTGTCAAGGAGATATTTATTATTTACAACTTTCCCCTACTATTTACATAACCTGTAGGATTTAAAAATAGATTTGTTTCACAGTGAATTTAGGTTAAAATAGTCCTTGTTTCGGCCATAATCTACATGGTGAGATATTTATGTAATATGGACAGTTAATCTGTCTCTCTAACAATTGGCCACAGGGGCTGGACTCAATTTATCTCCTCTCTGCAGGGTCTTCTATTATCTTTGGATGTGCACCTCACGTATGTCCCTGAGTGTATGCAACTGATTAATCATAAAAATGATGACATTCCTTGGAGTAATTAGACATTATATAAAAAGCATCTGCTGTGCTTTCTCAAGAGGGAGGGGCAGGCAATCCTCCAGTCAGCACAGATAGCTGCTCTCCCTGGGGGGATGTCTTCTGAGGCGACAGTCTGCCTGGGGATGGGGATCTGGCCCCCAGCACATGGCATTTGTCTGTCTTGTGCTGGGATGTTAGAAATGCTGTGCTAACCTCAGAGATGTGGCCTGTGTTCAGGAGGAGAACAGCCCCCTTTACATCTAAGTACTATTTCCATACTCGTAAGGCCTCCTCCCCACGGCGTAAACTTGCTCCGTCTCTGGTTCTGTATTTTGTGGCACTGTCTGGAAAATGGGTGTGGAAATAAACAAAACAAAAGAAAACAAAACAATCCCTAAACCTATAGGAAGGGTAGGGTAGGGGCACTTTAATAGTTCACCTGGAATCTTAGGTTCCGTTCCGTTAACGAATCCAAAGCCTGAAAGAAGAGAACCAGAGGGCACATCCAGGTCACTACCAAGTCCTGTTTGATTTTTCATCTCCTAAACATGCCTAAACCCATGCACTTATCTCCGTCTCCCCCATGCCCTGAATCTAAGTCCTAACGCCCCCATCTGGACATCTGCAGTAGCTTCTGACTGGTTTCTCCACATCCACTTGTGCCCCATCCCCTGCTCTCTTGTTCACACCGGTGCCAATGTGAGCTTTCAATATGCAAATTGGGCCTTGCTATCCTCTTGTTTAAAACCCATTAGTACTTCCGTTATTGTTAGAAAAAAGGCTAAACCTCTCTCTGCTCCGGTCTCACAGCACTTGCTCTCTTGCCCACTCCGCTTCAGCCACACTGGACTTCTTTCTGCTCCTTAAACTCACCAAGTGCTTTCCAGCCTCAGGGCCTTGGAACTAGCTGTTCCCTCTGCCTGAACTGCCGTTTCACGGAGTCTCCCTTGGCTAGTTCCTTCTTGTCATTTAGAGCTCAACCTAAGTATCACCTCTTCAGAGGGCATTCTCTCTCTCTCTCTATGTATATTGAGAGAGATATATGTATTTACATACATAATATACATACATACATATACATCTATATTTGCATACACATATATAATTTTTTTCTGAACTGTTTGAGAATAAAGTATAGACGTAACGCTGCCCATTTACCCCTAAATACCTCAGTGTGTATTTCCTAAAAACACTCATTCTTTTATATAACCAAATACAGTTATCAAAACCAGGCAGTTGGGGCTGGGCCAGTGGTGCAGCGGTTAAGGGCTCATGTTCCGCTTCAGTGGCCCGGAGTTCACTGATTCGGATCCTGGGTGCGGACATGGCACCACTTGGCAAACGCCATGCTGTGGTAGGCATACCACGTATAAAGTAGAGGAAGATGGGCACGGATGTTAGCTCAGGGACAGCCTTCCTCAGCAAAAAGAGGAGGATTGGCAGCAGATGTTAGCTCAGGACTAATCTTCCTCAAAAAAAAAAAAAAAAAACCCAAAAACCAGGCAGTTAACACTGGTACAATCCTATTATCTAATCAACTTTATTCATATTTTGCCAGTTATTCCACTAGTATTCTCCATAGCAAAATAAAACAATTTTTTTCTGGCCCAGTATTTCATCCAGGATCATGTCTCTTTGGATCCCTTCAGTCTGGAGGAACTGTTCCTCAGTTCTCCTTTATCTTTTGTAACCTTGACATTTTTTAAGGGTCCAGGCTAGTTATTTTGCTGTGCGTTCTTCAGTTTGGATTTGCCTGATGTGCTCTCATGATAGGGTCAGCTCATGCATTCTCAGCAGGAATACCAGAGAGCTGATGCCATGTTCTTCTCCCCGCGTCCTGTCAGGTGGCGCACATGGACTTGACTGGCTAAGGTGGTGACTGTCAGCCTTCTCTACTGTGAAGTTAGTATCAGTCTCTTGTAATCACTAGTATCTTGTGGAAGATACATTCTGAGACTGTGTAAACATTCTGTTTCCCATCCCAGTTTTGCCCAATAGTTTTAGCATCCAGTGATGTTTCTTGTTTGAGAAATAATTATTACCAGGTTGGTTGCCAAATGGTGAATACATCATTCTTTTTTTGTTTGTTTTTTCTTGAGAGTCTGTTTTTCTATTTTTTTATTGTGATAAAATATACATAACATACCATCTTACCCATTTTTAGATGTACAGTGTGGTGATTGCTCTATTTTAATTCTCTTCATAGCTCTCATCACTCTGGGTTTTAAAAATTATGTTATTAATTATCCATCTAGGATGTAAACCCCATGAAAACAGGATCCTTACCTGTCCTGTTCATGGCTATATCTCCTCTGGTGCCTGGAACACTATCTGACACATAGAAGGCTCTCAGTAAATATTTGATTGATGAATGAGTGAGTGAGTAAATGGCTGAATGGATGAGTATGACCCAGCACTGTTGGGCTCCCACATGTCACCCTCCCCCCTGCCCCGGATTCTCTAGCCTCCTTGGCTCTGCCCTGGCTACACTAGCCTTCCTTTGATTCCTCATGTTCTGGTCCACCACAGGGCCTTTGTACCTGCCAGTACCCCGACCTGGAATACTTTTTCCTTCCTGCTTCATTGCTGACTCTATTCTTCCCTACAATGTCAGCTCAAATGTCACTTCCTCAGGGAAGCTGTCTCTGACTTGCTTTACTAGGAGGCCAGATTCTCCAACTACAGGTATTCCTGGCCCAGTTGTGTCTCCTTCATAGCAGCTATCGTGGCTGCTGGGACAATAGTTTCTGATTACTGATCAATGCCTGTTTCCTGCACCAAACTGCAACTTCCATGCTTGCTGGGCTGTTGTGTGGTTTTGCTCTGCCTTCGCCCTTCTACATAGTGTTTGCTGAATGCTTTTTTCCTCAGTTGAATCACTGGCAACATGTAACAACAGTGTTCATTTCCTTCTGCAAGTGTTCAATTTACATAGTGTTGATTGAATGAGCACCTCAGCCAATTTAAATCTTCAGTGTTTTGTAGAAAATTCTTCTTGATGTGATTTTAACACTAAGAAGTGTTGAACAATGCTATTAAAATTTTCTTTAGCTTTGACTTCTGTTAGATATTTACTCAGGATTTTAAAATAGTCAAATGCATTTTGTTTGGAAAGCTAAGCCCAAATGCTTTCATTTTCAGTGCTGAATGATGTGTAAGCAGGTGATATTGTGGACCCTGCATTGCCAAATGAAGCTCTTGGGTTTATTAAAAATATCAACAAGATATACAAGGTAGGGTACTCTTGTTATGTTTCAGAGGTATTTAGCTAAGTTTCTTAACAGAAGAATAAACTCAGAATAATTTCTTGCTTCGTTTGAAATATTTATACCAACACCTTGCCTTGGAGAAGCCAATAAACTTACCAATGAAAAATGAATGTGCTGGATTTCCCTACCCAAAGTATTATAAGTAATTCTGAGAAGGAAGTATTTAAAACATCTTAATTTGCTTGACAAATTAAAACCTTGGTTTGAAGAGCATTGCCACCTTCTTAACAGCTTGTGCTTTTCTTCGCCATGCACAGGGGTGACTTTAAATAAGGTCCAGCCTCAGCTTCTGGGAAGCCTCTACTTCTGGGTTTTTAAAACTGGGTTAATTTAAGAATAAGCCTGACAAATCTTTGAGAATTTTACAAACTTATTTGAGATTTACCCACTTATTGAGAAGAAAAAATATTTTTTTCCTTCTATCACTGTTAAGTGTTTTGAAGCAGGTGTTCTCCCTTACAAATTCCCTGGGTGATTGTAATGTAAAGAGGCAGCAGAAAGAGAAGCGTAAGATGCTGCCTCTGTGAGAGTGAAACGCTGAACATTTCCTGTAGAGTGGAGGTGCCTTATGCTCACGTTTATCTCACGGTGACCCAACTCCTAGAGAAAGAGAGCAAAAATTCGACCAGATTATATTTTGCACATATCCTTTTATGAGTCACACATTATAATGCACATACTCTATACCTGCACTGCACGTTATGATGTAGGGCAATACATACAAAACCACACTGTCTTCTTCATGGCCATGGAGATGTTCAAGGATAATTTTGAGTATAGCCAATTTTGGCCTTACTGATGGACTTTGGAACCTAACCCATCATAAGATGTGACTTTGCAGTAACAATTTTGACCTACTTAACGAATTCATGAAATACAGTCTTGACATTTTGGGGGGACTGTGCTATCTGACAGCAGTACTGGTATTTTTGAAGCAGGCGTTTCATTTCACACATGTATAACAAGGTCCATAGTGTAAGATTTAATAACTTTTTTCCAGGGAGCATGTGTTTTTCCCTCTTGGGCAATGTTAAATATGCATTGTCAAACTCAAATATTATATAACTTTTAAAAAAGTAACATTAAGATGTTTGTTTTACAGTGAATGTGGCCAAGAACCTCATTTTTAGGTTCACTAGGTACATGTTCTATGGTGGGGACCCTAGAGCTGTTTTGTCAGATTTCTCTCTACAAAGCATATCAAGGACTTGAGTGGATTGTATTGACCTAAAAGGTGAGCCCATGGACAGATAATAGCGACTGTATTTTCTTGTCTGAGTTTTTGTGGCCTTCCTCTTGTTTCACTCACTGTTGTCCTGTAGCCAGCAAGAGTTGAAGGATCAGTAGGTACCAGCTGAGTCTGACTTGATGTTTCACCTTGAACTTGATGACTTTGGCCACAGGCATCATCATATTTTCTTTTAAAATTGCCTCTCTTCCACCAGCAGTCCATTTCTCTTTTTAAGGGTAATTATTTCACTTCACCTAAAAGAAACAATATGTAGAAATATTGAAAGTTAGATAAGACTCTGAGAACTTAGTTTTGCCATGTCAAGAGCTGGCCCCAGATGTCGCTGAGCTGCCTGTGGTGTTTCATGGGGCCCAGTGCTAGTATTCTCCGGTGATGTACTTGATGGTACATTTTCACGTGAGCAGAATGAACAGGCTTTACTCTCCAAAAAATTACCAGCTCAGAAATAGAACTTTCCTATCCAAGGACAGTGTCTTAGGCAGTTCTCAAATCTGCAGAAGGAAAAGAAGTCATAGAAAAGAAGAAATAGCACAAGGTACTGGTAGTCTCAGACATATTTAAATTAGAAATATTAAGGACATGGCTTTTTATAGTCTTTCAGATTGTTAGAACAGATGGAATCAAATGCTTGTAGAATGCCTGATGCGTTTCTTTAGAACCTCCAGGGTTCTCAGAACACAGTGTGAAAACTTCTAATCGAGACCAACATCCTCATTTTATTGCTGATTAGAGAGATGTCAAAATTGATTAATTGATTTGCCTGTGAGTCCACAGCTGGATGGGGTGTGTGGTGGAGGGAATGGGATTGTGATCCTGGCTTCCTGACTCCAGGGTGGTTAGGACTGGTCTGAAGTGAGAGAGGAAGGGGGAGAGAGAAAGGAGAGAAAAGAGAGAGAGATCCAGGAAATGCCAGAGGAGAGCAATAAATAGTGATTGCCAAGTTAGACCTGCGAATGATGGTTACCAGTTAGACTGTTTTAATAGAATTTATTTTTTTAGAGCATTTTTTGGTTCACAGCAAAATTGAGCAGAAAGTACAGAGTTTTCCCATATACCCCCTGCCCCCACACATGCATAGCCTACCCCATTATCAATATCCCCTACCAGAGTGGTACAATTGACAAACCTACATTGACACATCATTATCACCTAAAGTCCATAGTTTGCATTAGGGCTCACTCTTACCAGCTAGATTTTAAGTAAGGGCTCAAGTCGGAGGAGGAGCTTGACTTAGCCCTGAAAGGAAAAGTAGGGCCTAGATCGTCACCACCCACGAAGGTTTAGCACTTAACTGTTGTACCGCATCTTGGGGGCATGTTGTTCTCCCCGTGGCCTGTGGCTCCCTCTCACCTCTCCAAGAACTAATGGCACTTTGTAGGCCAATCCTAGTGTAAGGCGACCCTCCTGATCCAAGGCAGTGTGATGCGAGATGAACCGGTCATGGAAATGGAGCTGTTCCTGTCCTCCCCAACAACTGT